CATCCACTCCAGGTACTTCTGTTCCCGGCACTGAGACCTCAGGCACTGTTCCAGGTTCATCCACTCCAGGCACTTCTGTTCCCGGCACTGAGACCTCAGGCACTGTTCCAGGTTCATCCACTCCAGGTACTTCTGTTCCCGGCACCGAGACCTCAGGCACTGTTCCAGGTTCATCCACTCCAGGTACTTCTGTTCCCGGGACCGAGACCTCAGGCACTGTTCCAGGTTCATCCACTCCAGGTACTTCTGTTCCAGGTACTTCTGTTCCCGGCAGCAGTGTTCCCGGGACTGTTTCTTCTCTGACACTGACTAGTAAGTGTACAGGTTGGAACTGCCCACCCACTCCATGTACTACTACATCAAAGACTACTACTAAGTGTGACAAGTGGTACTGTCCACCAACTCCTTGTACCACAACATCTAAGACTACTAAACCATGCACCACGAGTTCCAAGACCAGCACCCTTTGTACTACTACCCCTAGAACTACCACTCCATGTCCTACTACATTGAGAACTAAGAATTGGTGGGGGTGGAAAGAGGCCGGTGATATAGCAACTTTGAATGCTACTGTTCCAGGTTCATCTGAGATTGTATCTGAAGCAACATCGATTGTTTCTTCTCCAGTTAGTGTGGAGTTCGAGTCAGTCACTGATCAAGTGACAAGCGAAGCTGTTAGTGAACCAGTCACTACAGATGCTTCTGGCGTTACGTCCTTAGATGCCAGTGACCTTGAGTCCAGTGCTGTTGAGACACCAGCTGCTTCTTCTGTGTCACCCGTTATTGAAGCCACACCAAGTGTTATGTCATACGAAGGTGGTGCTGCTAAAGCTAGCATCATATCTAAAAGAGGATGGATGTCTATTGTTGCTTTGATTATGCTTGCAATCTAAGGTCTTTGAGAGAGTCAATGATATTACTCACGCATACATAATTCTATGAAAGCAATCATTTATTTCAAACTCAGTTCATTATCCATTTATACTTTCGTTACAGTATCATGTTCTTCCACTTTAAGAAAGCATATAGAGGATTAGGAAGAATGGTGATATATAATCGTTTTAGCACTTAACAATCGTTTTATAGAAAGAATGTATGCTTCATATTATCATAGAATTATACTTAGTAAAGGTTAAAATACTACAACCATAGTTAATTCCACCCATCGATCATCTGCTAAAGAGTTCTGTGCCTATTACAAGTCTCATTAAGTTGTACATGACCTAAAATTTGTTCGTAATAATATATATTACATTTTTATACTATAAAATTTAAACCATACCGTTGAGGATGCATACGCAATTAAACCAGAAATCCAAAATGAAAACCAACTATAGTGGACAACACCATTGCTATAAAAAAAGATAAAAAGAAACAAGAATAAAAGGACAAACTAAAACCCAACTGTTGAAATAAAAGAATGCAAACGTAAAGTCGTGAATATGGGCTGTTAGATCAAACTCCAATGTTGAAACAGAATTTGATTTGGATACGTTGAGTATACCATAATATAGCTGTTAAATAACAGCCTTATTATTTTTATAATTATTAATTACAATAAAACATTATAATTGTAATTGTTGTGTCAAGGGGGGACCCTTAAGTTTCCAAGTTGTTTAACAAAGAAAATAGAACATCATTTGATGCAGTGAAATTGTTGTTAACCAAATTACACAACACAAGCTCATCTCCTAATTGGTTGAAGAAGTTGTAGGCATTTTCAATGTCATCTTGATTTTGATTTTGATCTTGTTTCTGATCGCTATCACCATCAGAAGGTTTAGCCATAAGCCTATGGTAAATTGTGGCCCATTCCGAGATTAAGGTGAAGATCTCGTCTTTCCAAGCCAAAAAGGATGTCCTTTCCACAATTGTGGGCTGTAAGATTTCCTCACAGGGGAAAACACCCCACGTGACCGCGTTGATGTCACCTTCCTTTGTGTTGGTCCATAAGGTACCACTTTTATCCACAATATAGTATGTGATAACATGTGTGTTACCTTCACTATCACTGGAATTGAACAAGTCCAAAGCCTTCAACAACTTATCAACAAGAGACTTAGGACAAAGAAATTCCAAGTATTGTTTCTGATAAACGTACCCGTTTTTGGGACCCCAACCGAAAAGTTTATCGGTTGATTTTGCGGCATTGACTGCACATTGGGAGTTTGTGGTTAAAAACCCCTTACGGTTAATTGATACCAAATCTTCAATCAATACTCCGGTTTCTTCACCAATAGGACCATCAGACCAAGGCAAAGAAGTCAAACCACCTTCCAAATAAGAAACCAAAAGATCTTCCAAAGCCTTTAAAGTTGAGGGAGTGCCCCATAAATCAAGTGCCTTCTTTGGAGATTGTCTTAAAAGTTCTGATGCACATAAATCAATATCACCAAAAGCTGGAGATCTAGCATCACCCCATCTACCATTAGGAAATTCATCCCAAGCAGAAGTTCTCATGATATAAGAATACTTTCTGTTTTGCCAGAAAATAGGACGAATCGATTCCTTAGATCTTTCGGGATGTAAAGACTTTCTCCAAGGCATAGCTTCAGTAACCACTTGAGATTCTCGAACAATCTCAACAAGGTTCAATTTCTCTAAAATCATGACCGTAGCTCTTTCTAAATTCATGGTATAGAAATGTAAATGATTGACATATCCGGATTGAATCAATTTCTCACACATTTCTGCTACCAATTCAGTACCCTTTTGTCTAACCATATAATCATCATCTTTAATAGGATCTAGAGCATCTAAAAAGTGTTGAGGAATTTTGATTTCTGACCACTTTGCTCTTCTAATTAATGATGCATAAGTTGAAATAGGCATGATTCCTGGAACAATAGGAATATCAATACCAATCTTTCTAATCTTTGAACACCAATCAATAAAGTTATCAACATCATAAAACATTTGGGTGACAATAAAGTTGGCTCCAGCATCACACTTTTCCTTCAAATATTCAAGAATTCTGTCCCCGGAAGTCTCCTCGGGATGTCCCTCGGGATACGCAGCGACCCCAATATCAAAGTGATCGCCGTATTTCTTCCGAATATAAGTGATCAAATCCTTTGCATATTTGAAATCACCAGTCGATTCAGATCCATCCAATGGAGGGTCTCCACGCAAGGCAAGAATATTTTGACATCCTGATTTATAAGCTCTGTCCAATGCTTCATCAATTAATGCTACTGGCATGTTGGTACAAGTTAAATGCATACACGTTTCTAAACCCAAGATGGATTGAGCAGTGTAAACCATTTCATTTGTCAAACTCGATAAACGACCCCCAGCATTCCAAGTAATATCAACAAAGATCGGATTGAGTTCATACATACGGTCCATACGATCGTATAAATTCTGAACACCTTGAGGAGTTTTAGGCACAAAAAACTCAAAGGAAAAGGTTGCCTTTGGCAGTTTTGCCGCGCTGTGAGCCTGGGCCAACTTGTCGGTAATCTTCATGATTCAACTACTGATTTAAAGATAGTAAATCAAGAAGAGAAAGAGGTTTGTATAATTATGTATTCATTAAATTTTTCAATCTAACTGCGCACCGTGGGTGTTCCGGTACCGGTGCTGAGTCATAGTTATGTACAGGACAAATATATAGATAATCACTAAAGGCTTAAGAAAGCCCATGATATTAGAATGCAAAGCTGACTTGGCTATTTCATTAAATTGCCACTGCATCGGAATATAATATATATCTATGAAAGCCGCTGGCTTAATCAACACTAAATGTAATAATATATAACAATGGATGTGCTATTATCGCCTCTAGTTGTTAGTATCAAATACTGTATATAGATCGTTGAGTTATTACGGGCTATCACATGCTTCAACTAAGGTAGCGCACAAAATAATTCGTTCTTATCTGGATGTTGTGATAGGGCGCTGGCCAATGCTGCTCATTTCCTGACCTTGATCAATAGGTTGTCATCTTCAATAAAGTGGCACAGTTTTTCATACTATTCAAGGAAGATGAATTATTGGCGTTGTCAATTATCAAGAGATCCAGCATCAATAATCAAGAGATGCATACATACCCTCTTTGATTTGATAAAGTGAGTATGATTCGTATACGATTAGGTGTAAATATAATCCTTGATTTTGTGGCACATCAGTCGTTTAGAGAAAGCTTAGCTCATAGCAAGAGTTGGATAGGCAGGGCATACACACAACGTCCTTTGCTGTCCTACCACACATATAAACCCATTTTAGTGTTCATTCATCGGAGCAAATATTCAATACACCATACCTAATCTTGCCTCTGTATGAAAGTACCCATTCACAGGTGTCTTCTGTTCCAATAGAAATCTTTGCTCCATTGAATGCGGAGAGTTGTATTATGAAATATTGTAGTTATAAATTGCTCGGTGTTCTTAGTCAAGTATATTTGCTCAGGAAGCCATTATTTTGCTCTAACTGAAACGCTTACTAGAAAGTAGTTACTTGATCCACTGTCAAGAAAAGGCTACCTTTAGATGAGATCTCTTCTAGTATGAACATAGGAACACTTTCTCCAGTTTGTATATTTCAGCTGTACAATTTCTGTACTAAAATAGGATATAACAGAGAGTCAAAGGATGTGATATACCGATGCATAATAGCAGTGAAAGAGATCACGATGTTTGCGGAGTCTATCAGCCATATGCCGAATGATCTAGAGCCGTATTTGTTGCTACTATCAGACTTAGTTAGCTTTAGTAATTGTAGAGGATGGCACAAACAGTATTCTATTGTTTTCCAATTACTTCTTTGAACAGTAGCACCTTTTCTAAAGATGATTTTGCTTGTTAAGAAACTTTAACACAAATCACTAAAGCTGTATCTAACGAGTAATAGACCCCGTAGTTTAAAGACCAAAGTCGGTAATCATTTTTTTTCGCAACCAATTCAGCAAAATGCACCTCAATATTGGTACCCAATTACTTCTGGCCCTCTACTTCTCCTTAACAGTGGAGGCACTGCTAAATAAATCGGTAGGGTATGGAAAAGCTGGTGCTTCTATATTCAATTTCCTTTTAATAACCATATTAGATTTTGCGACAGGTCAAGGAGTGCTTGGGTTTGTATTTGTACAAAAGAAAACGCTATTGCATCGATTCTTGGATGCTTGGTAGTCTCAGACCAATACACCAGAAGCTCTAGAGAAGTATAGGGAATTATGCAATATCAGGTGTCATCTAAAATTAACTTACAATATCTTGGAGCTGACCTACCTGCTTTGACCTACCTGCTTTTTTGAGAAGGCTGTGCATCTTTCAGATGTTCCTAGTTTCAATCACGCGGTTCCACTAACTGTTCCCATTACGCTTAAGGAAGTTGCCAAATTATGGAACAAAGCATACATTAACTATATTTGGACAAACTAAGACATTCCTGTTTGGTATTCGCTCACACAAGCTTTGTGGTTTGCTCTAGTAACGGTGCTTGTAACCCTTAACAACCTTATTAAAATATTACTCCCTGCAAATTATCAAAGGTATAATGGCTCAATGCCTAACAAGTTTAGGAAGAATATTCTGATGCCTGCACTTTCAGGGAAGAATAAAGCCCAGAAATTGTCTTTGTTTAGAAAAAGTATCTTTATGCTTGTTTCTAATCGTTTGGAAACCATAGTTTTTAGTATTATGCTAGCATTGGTTTTCGTTGGATTGCTTGCTGACTTACATTTCGTCGATAATGATCCAATCTTTAAATCAAAGCTAGATGCTCTTAATAGATAGCAAGCAACAAAGATCCGGTATAATGGGAACTATCTTAATTCCTTTACTTGTGCTGTTTACAGGTAGAAATAATATTCTTCTGTGGCTCACTGGATGGAGCTATGCAACAAACATTACTTATCACAAATGGGTTAGTAGGATCTCCTTTTTATTGATCTTACTTCATTCGATTACTTACACTGCTTACTTTGTTGAACGTAATGCTTATAAAAGGTTTATGAAAGAAAATTATGCAATTTGGGGTACCGTTGGTACAATCACAATAGAATTGCTTGTCTTTCAAGCCATACTACATTTCCGTCGGAAATGGTAGGAAACATTTGGTTGATTTAGGTTACATTCAGTTGATAATTCCAGCAATTGCCCTTCGGTCCCTTGATCGCTAGCTCGTCTTTTCCGAGTGGCTGCATTTGAAGTTCCTGCTGCCAGTGTGTCATTATTGGGTAAAGGTAATGGAGTTGACCATTGACGGAGGAAGCCGTAACATTTAAAGTAGTAGTACCAACGTCAGACCATTGGAGAATGACTCCTGGGGGACAAGTGTGGATCTGCTTCTTAAAACCAACTTGCTTTTGGCAATCGCATCCATCAAATTGTATCGAGTCTCTCGATGGTAAGTCTATCATTCTTTATTGCAAGGTGAAAAAGTGGGGTCACATACAACTTATTCAAGTGCTTATTGAACACACACACTAATCGAGTAAAAAAGTCATAGTATCAGTTGAAGGACCATACTCCAAGCCATGTCAATACAAGAGAACCGAGTGTGTGAGCCTCATTGCAGGAGGTAAGGGTACTCTTTGGTCTTTATTCTGAAGCTACACACTTGGCTAAAAATAGAAGGCCATTAAAGGGAAACCAAAGTTGCATTGGATTATTAGAGACTGCGGTTCTATAATGCCGTTCTATGAACAGTTGGAAACATTGAAAAATGTACAACTTGAAACCACCATCTACTTAACAAGGTCTAGTAAGCTGTCAGCTAGCGACCAAGACTCTGAAGATGAGAAACAGAGTAGAGAAAGTGATTCTCTCGATATTGTTCACATAAAGTCTTGCCTTTCACATATTAACTTTGTTGAATTTAAGCCACGTGTTGATGATATCGTTAGATGTGATATAGAGGAAGCAAGTGAAGCAATTATTATTGTATATTGTGGTCATCCAATGCTGGTTGATGAGGTAAGTTATGCGGTTGTTCAAAGCTTGGCTCAAAACAAAGACAAGTTGATACACTTCTATGAAGCTCTACAGGTGTGGGCATAGATTACGACAATAATATAATTGAATATAATACTAAATTGTAATATTATAATATTATTATAGTAAATTGGGACAGATATATTCTATGTTTTCGTTGCACAGTGGTAATGACTCACGTTTTGTATGGAATCTATAATTCATCGTGGCATGCACTTTCAAATGCTTCTTGAAGTGTTCCATTAACTTCCTTTTCAAGTAAAGTCCACTCAGGTACTATACGTTCAATAGCCTTCGATTTAGGCTCCAAATTTGCAGGGTTATTACACATGTCTATGATAGATGCTTCTTCCTTAGTACTACCAGAGCACCATGTCTCACACCACAACCACTTGGCAGGTAAACTGTAAATAGGCACACGATGCTGAAGATTGTTAGGAAGATCTTGGTCCAAGTTGGCAAGCGAGTTGGGGTCAGATGATAATTTCTGATAAGAGCTTCTCAAATAATGTCCAACGTAAAGTTTTCTAAATACTTCAAGATCAACAACAAACATAGCACTAATATGATATTTGAAATCATCACCTAAAACTTTATCCCAATATCCCGATTTCCAGAACCGGTATTGGCTCATCTCATCTCGATCTTCGCACATAGGTGTAAACCCATAAGGTGCACCCTCCAAATCAAAATCAATCAATTCTTTCAAATCAGATCTCACAGTCAGATCAGCATCGATGTAGATTACACGAGACAAGTTCATTGGGAATAACACATCAAGAAATAAGATTTTATAGGCCCATACTTCTCGATGGTGTAGATCTTGAGCCCGGAGCCAAACTGGCCATTGATATCCTATGAATTCATATTCGAACCCGTATTTCTTAGCAAGGATAGCAAGATCACTTCTGAATTGTGGAGATATGTACTTTTCAAGTATCCAAAACTTCACTGAATACTTCGAGTTCTTGATAACTGAGAGTATCATGGTTTTGGATAATCTTTCATAAGTGGGTCCGCTTATGACTGTAAAGACATTTACTTCTGGTTCCTTCTTAAATGTGAGTTTGTTTAAAAGCAGCTTCACAGACCAGCCTTTTACTGGATTCTTTGAATCTTCATCAACAGCAATGGCTTTGCCCGTAGTAAATTTAGGATAAATTTTCAGTCCTGCTAAAGAGTAAACTGAAACTGGATATGAAGACACAATATATTCATTGGACGTCTCATACCCTTTGATATCATTCAATAGACTGTAGCCAACAGAATTGAACTTTGAGTTAATACCAAGTCTCCAAGATCCAGGACTGACAGAAAACTGAAAGTAGCCTAACGTTGAAAGGACTGTTGCGTCGGTTGAGTAAGTATTGTTTGACAAACTTAAGATTAACCCTGACGGATAGCTACCATAGTCTACATATGAAGCATATCCCTCTAGAACCAACTTCTTCAAGCCAAAAGTCAACTTTGGTTCAACATTAAGGCCGCTTAAAGTGAAGTTTGCTGAATCAAAATCTTTTGAGACGTTTTTTATCTCAGTTACCCAACTAAAAGGAGCACGCAAATTAAGAGTAAATGACTCATTCACTGGTAAAACCAATGAAGAAGGAACCGACTCAGTAATAAAATCGCCTTCCAAACCAAACGTGGGCTTAGATCTAGGCATATTTCCTGAATGGAACCGGCTGACCTGCTTGTCAGTTGAAGGTTGAATCAATATACGAACTTGAACAAACTGGAAGTCAACAAACGCATTGGCAATGGTCAACATGTCTTGGGAATATTCATCCAAAGGATCTAAAATTAATAGTAAGTCAATTTCCTTCTCATCAGAATCATTATCCACAACAGTAATCGAGTTCAGCATATCAAGAATGTCAAAATCGTAACGAGAAACATCAGTTGAAAGAATGTCCTTCGACAGATAAAAGGAGTTTGTTACAATCGAAGATAGCATATCAAAAAAGTCAAAAGAATCACCTCCGATAGATTCTATAAACTCAACACTCGAATTCTTATCGTTAAATATATTGGACTTTTCTTCAATGATTCTATCAAAGGTAGACAAACGATAGGAGTTCTCAAACTCTAACAATGAACGAATGTTCTTCTCACTGAAGACTTCATCCAAGTCAAGAACCCGAGAATTAACAAGTAAAGTATTCTTATCAATGCTTATATCGCAATCCTCAAAGACTTTAAAAAGGTCCTGGGTTTTAGCATACCGGTAAACAGGGATATCGTTTCTAATAGTGTCAACCCATTCGATTATATGGTCGATTTTCTCCTCCGTTATTTCAGTGATACTGGAAATCATATCAAAAACCTGGGTGTTAGTTCTTGTATTCACAAGACGAAGCTGAAAGTTGAAATCTGCTTCTTTCATCACACTCAATAACAGAATCAATTGTTCGAGTATAATTTCTGAACCAAAATCACCAATCAACCAAACAGTAGTAGGCAAATAAGTCTGATTACCTGCGAATCTTATTGGTAGAGATTTTGAAACGAGCTCATCAGTGATTAGTTTGTACTTTATGTCACTGGGGTTTGCAGGGTTAATCTTGAGATTTCTTTCTGACTTTGCATCGTCATACAAAATGGATTTTAAGGTTCTATTTTCATGCTTACCTTCCATCATGGCCTCTTGAAGCGTTTTAACATCATGGAGAATTTGCTGCGCCATGGACAATTGCCAATCCCTCTCATACAAACTATGGATGACTCCACTGAAAATAATAGAAGGCTCCTTAATACTGAATTGATTTGCAGTAGCAAATAATTCATCTAAATCGTCAATGTTATCTTCAATAGAATCGAATAACTTTTGTTCTTCTTCTGGTTCCATAGTAGCAAAATAAGCATACAAGAATCCCAAAGCTTCTGTTGTATCAGAAACCATTAAGATAGAATAAAGCTTTCTTGCCATGAACTCATCCAATGGGTCAGAACCTTTAAGAGGTAATATTCCCAATTGGTGAACTAACCCTTGGTCAAGAATAACCTTTGCAAAGGAAAACAATACTCTCAACTGCTCTTTGTCATGTAAGTTGATAACAAAGATCAAGTCATGAACATTCTCTCTGAGAGGAGGTATTTGGCCCATTCTAATGTTCATTCCTTGAGGTCCTAAATAGATTTCGTCTGCATTCCTTGAGTACTTTTCATATGTTTGGTCCTCTTCGATGTTGTTGAAAAAAATTACTCCCCCATCACTCTTTCCTTTAGGGTTGAATCTTTGTTCATAAACTTTGAATCTGTTAGTATTCGAGCCCCATAAACTTTTCCCTGATCGATATTTGTAGTCATTAACAGCACTAACTAAAGCAAACTTGTTGATCAAGTATTTGGCTTGAATTGTTGTCAATCCAAGAGCCTGTAATGATTGGACAATCACAAGTTCTGACTTCACCTTCTCAAAGGCATTAAAGACATTTAATTCAAGCTTATTAATAGGAGACCCATTGATGTAGAACCCGTTTGTATTCGAAGTTATTCCCTTCTTTTCATTTGAAGTCAGTGCAGCCTTGACTGCTTCACTAACGGGACTCTTATCAAGTGATGCCATGTAGCATGGAAGTGATTGGCTTATGGTTTTCAAAGCTTCAAACTTTTCTAATTCGGAAATATCTTGGTTAAGAATATAGCTTGTTAACTTTAAACCTATGTCTTTAACGTTTGAAGGATATCGAAGCAGACTGCAGTCAATATTACGTATGTCACCTAAGGGAAAATCTTCGTCTGAATCCTTTTTGGTATTTCTCATATTGTTGATGGTGAAATCAACACTATAACCCCTAAGGTGATCTCTGCTAGCAGTTTCATCAGGAATATATCTAAATACAAATCTGAGCTTACCATTTTTTGAGTCCGTCAAAAGACTATCTAACATTGGAAGAAATTGTTTGGATGATGGTTCACCATAGAATACAACAATAGGGCCCAGTTTACCAATAACTCTATCAAAAGTTTCAAGGACATTTTCAGCTTGAGATTCTGTCTTAAACGCAAATAGGTCTTCATTGGAGCAATATATCTGATTTTTAAATTGGACCCATGAATTATGATCTGACATTGTTGTGCCAAAGGAATCAGTTGTGCATTTTAGAGCAATTGAAGTAGAGTACTTCTTGGAAACATAATAAGCATAATGTGCCCCTATGCGAGGTCCAAACATGTTATAAGTCAAATGGAAATCAATGACTGATTTTGCTATATGTGAAAGGTTATTGTGTTGAGCAAAGAACCTGTCGTAAACGATTGAATCTTTTAATACATTATTGACATCATCAGCATCGTCATCATTTTCATCATAGTCATGATTGAAATCGATATCACTACCACCGATGGCAAATATAGACCTTAATGCAGACTCATAAAGACTCTCATCAAAGGCAGCAACACTCTCTAAAAGTCTGATTGCAAAGGGTACTTGGGTCCATGAAGCCTCACCATGTACAGTTACTTGTGGAAGTGCCAAAGCGCAACTGAACAAGGCAAGTTGAGCAATAACCACAAAGTACGTAATCATACTGCCTCTAGCTCCTTCTATGCTATGCTGTACTATATATTTTATGGGTTATATGAAATAATTCTGGATCAATGAAAATTCCACAAGGACTGTATAATGGAGCGATGATCGTGTCTGAGTTCGAGGCACGTCTGCGAATATGATTGTCTGAGTGTTTTGCAGCATACACTAAAATTATGCAATCGCAGGACATAGTATGACCAACTATTGGAATAGTTGTATCACTATGTCTAATAAAGCATATAAATAAGTTAACCTATAGTGCGTTTATAGTTAACGCCAGTGTTTTTCGCATAACCACCATAGCATTGCACTAAAAGAATATACTATTATTTAGCAACCATTTAATTAGTAATTGGACCATGCTAATAAGAATTCTTACTTTAAGTCATTACCTATGTTTACATCTATGGATGTCAGCATGTAGGTATGGCCAACAAATGAAAGGGCTGCAACCGGCCTTCTGGTAATTCTTGTCATGCTTTCAAAGAGTTTTAAGCCCTAGCATCCTTTTTAAATCACAGTACGGATATCATGATTAAATACATATTCGCATTTTGCCTTCGATGTTACCAGTAATTGGTTAAAGAGATCTTGAGCACAAGCTGGAATATCTACCTGTCATCTTAGGAGCTGAATCGGAAGGGAAAAGATCCAGTTCAGATCACATATGACTAATGGAATGCACCTTGTCATTACTGAAGTATTGATTGGACGTATAGTTTTGTAGTATATGCATGATATAGAGTGTATTTGTTTATGTTTATCAACTTGCTGTATGAAGCAGAAAAACAATAGCTAACATATGTAATTCAGCAGAATTAATACGAAAGATTGATATAACTGTTGTACACCTTTAGTTTGTGTATACCAGTAACAAGTAATACAGAAATCTGCTTGCAATATTGAATTATTCACGACTTTACGTACCAAGTATGTCCAGGTGACTTAATCGGGAAGATATAGCAAATCTGCATCTGTTAGGTTCTACCAACATCTGCTTGCATATGGCATTTGTGCTTCAGTTCTTTATTCAAAGCTTTTGTTCTGCTGATGACAAAACCAAGAAGTTATAAAAAGATGACAATATTTAACATCTTTTATCAAACTTTTTCACCACTTGCTTACTTAGCCTGAACACTAATTAATAAATAGCAAAATGTCCACTGAAGCTGCCTCTGAACGTGATCATGCTGCAATGAATTTCGTAGCAGACAGGTCGGCTGTACCAACTTTGAATACGCCGTCTGGGAACGTGTTAAATAGAGCTGTCAGCCCAACCATACAACCATCAATTACTGCGGAAGCTACTAATACCACAGATGGTAACCTGGTATCAACAGATTTGAATGAAACAATGACCTGTTTAATTCTTTTTTTTGTACTCTCCCTTGCCGCTTCTTTTTCTTATTCGCCCATAGGCCGTAAATATGATGATTCACGCCCATGGTTGTCATTTATCAAGGCATCAATATGGTTTTGTGTTGCTATTTTTCTGGGTATAATTTTTGATGGCATGCATAGTCGTAGCACGGTTTGAAGGTTTGGTTGCAAAATGTATTTGATAATAATTATCAACTTGTTTTAAGCAGTGGAAAAGCAATAGCTGTTATATGTAATGTCGCAGAATTATTAGGAGAGGTTGCTTTAACTAATAACCATCTTTAGTAGAATTTATCCATGCCAATAAATAGTAATACAGCCAACTGACTGCGATAATGAATAACCACGACTTTAACCTTTCCAAGTATCTTATCCTTGATTATTGATAGCTCTCCTGCTCTATCTTTGAGCTAGATTCTACCCTTAGCATCCATCATTCTAGTCACACTGACGAATTTCGTAGGGTTGACTTCCAACATCCCCTTAGACTTGACTACTAAGCAAATCAGTTGAATATACTTTTGTAATCTTTTTTAACCAAACATTAGAATTATGATATTTTACGTGGGGAAAGAATGCAGGATATTCAGAAGAAGAATAATTGCTGCGAAAGAAACAAGCAACATACTTGTTTGTATCACTCATTTCAGACACACATAGAAGTTTAATATAATAAAGACAACAATTTGTTCATCATGAAGACAACTAGCTAACTCCTGTTTTGATTTTTAAAGACTTCTCAAGTATTACAACTATGGATCAAGAGTGTCTGGGGAACCATCTTTAAAGAAGAGTGCTACAAAATCGGCATCTACGTCTAACTACCAATATTTGCATTGATTTAAGCTCATTAAATGCCGATGCGTCAAATTCTTTCAAAACAGAATCTGTTTTATTATTTTTTCAAAATTATAATAGCCCTATAGAGGGTGCAGTTAGACTTGGACTTGGGTGTTTTTCTTCGATGGTAATCCATAAAATCTCCTATTTCCTTAGTAAGATACGTCTTTAGTGGAACTACCAGTAATGCCCAACTTGCTTTATTTCATATTCTGACTTTAAGCAACCAACACCTTGTATCATCTTATAACCCCTGGCAAGGCCAATACTTCAAGTAACCATTTCTCAAATAATTACTTCGTTAGCCAAGAAATGACAAAACCTAGCAACAAAAAGCGTTGACACTGCCATACAAAGCGACGGCAAGAGCAATTCTTCATTATCAAAGAGATTAGTGAGGTAGTTGACAGCAAAAACAATTATGATTAAATACAAAATTACTAGGAAAGCACTGACGATGACTGTTGCTACATGCCCAAATCTTGATATCAGACGACCACTAGAGTCATTATCAGATTCTTCACTATTTGCTGGCCATCGATAAATGCTGATAGTGCTATTAATTATGATCTTCACAAGAGAAGGCAAAGTTGTTGCACAAAGCTCTAGACGTGCTCCAAAACTCCTTCCAAAGTTCTTCAAAGAATCTCTAGTTCCAGGTACCAGGCAACCACCGTAGTTAGTAGCAATTTCCTCAGTATTCGTTTGTCCTGTTGACGGGCCGTCATTGATTCTATTTTTGTTCACAATTGTATGAGCCAGACTTGGTTCAGTGGACGCGAAATCACTCCTAAAGTGACTGGGGTCAAGACAATTTTCAATGTCAGGTACCGGCGACATCGCAATACTATTTTGAACCTCGTACTATTAAATAATAATGCAAAATCTAAAATACGTTCTCTGTGAATTAACTAAAAATGAAATTAAAAAGAGTTGTTTCAATGAGAAATTTATGATATCTGAGCGGCTGAAATAGTTTATATATGAAGACCTCCGCATAACAAAACGATACAGAAGCAGAAAAAAATCACATTTCGAAGATAATCAATACACTAATGTGCCCTTTATTAATTGCAGGCTTACTATTTTGCAATAATTTCTCAAGCAGACATAGCCAGAAGCTTTGGTGATCAGCTTGTTATAGAATTGCACATTGTGTTCAACAGTTATGACAAACTCTCGCAACTATATAATTGTAACTTTAAGTAGCTACAAATTTTATCTTGTAAGCAAAATATTGAAAAAGGACACCAAGAACAAACGCTCCTACAAGTATGCTTCCACTCTTAAGTTTATTGATTAACCCATTATCCAAAATAGATAATTTCAATAAAAAAATAAGCGAGGCTAAATAAGAAATTAGCAGAAGAAAACTGCAAATGATATTCAATACGTGTTCGGTTTTTGACAATAGGAGACCACCGGAGATTTCTTCAATTTCATCATTATTTCTCATCAATAAACGCCAGAGTTTGAAGCTTTCTTTAATATTTTTAACTAATAAAGGCACAGTTTTCCAAATATACAGGGTGAATCCTGGAAAATCAGTTGCAATGCCCTTCAAAAAAGCTTTAAATGTTGGTTGGCCATGGACAGGATTATCAACTTTGTCAGTATTCGTCCCCCCCCCCTCGACAGGTGATCATCACATGTCAGTTGGTTCTCATTTGTACGATCAAAAATTGAACCAAACTCGATATTGGGTGTAGTAATACTATCTAAGCGGTCAAGGTGACGTTCGAAGTCAGAAAGGGACCACCTTTCATTACGATCTCTGATTAGATCTGTATTTGTTTGCCCCCTCGATGGGTTGTTGTCATTGCTTCTCAGTTCTTTCCCAATTGTAATAGCCAAACTTGATTCGTTCTTGGTTGCAATACCACCATTTAAGCGACCGGGGTCAAGGCGACTGACAAAGCCAGATACCGAGGACGACGGCTCAGCATTATCTGACATTCTTACTATGAAATAGCTAGACAAGATAATAAGTTCTAATGAAAGTAAAAGAGTAAAGAGTGATGTATTTTGAGCGCTTAAATCAAAGAAACAAACCCTTTTATTATGAAAGCCCAGTGCTCAAAAAAAATCAGACTGTTTAAAAATAGTGGTGTAAGCTCAGTTATTTCTCAAGCAGTCAAACTTGTACAACCAAGTAATAGGAAGGTCGGGTTAAGACCTAGATTGACCGGCTTATTCAGCATTAAAAGACTTCTCTAAGCTTTCCAATATTCAAGTTCCATCTCTTAAATCACATCACAAACTGCTCTGACACACTGGTGATAACCAAGAGTCTTCTGGAGAACAACTTCGTTTCTTCATACTTGTGAATTTTCCCGTATCATTTAATGGAGACGAACACCCATTATCAACTTCTGCAATTACATCCTAGAACTCTCTAATGGACTGACATTGTGATCCACTTTTTGCTTTAATCGACATGACATTTCTTTGATAATGGTACATCAAATCTCCAATTCCCATACAACATTCCGGAAGTGGAACCTCCATTACAGGGAAGGATGCGTTTTTGGTGTTATGTCTCTTCAACAATATTGAATTATACCCTCCAATACTTCATATACTGTTGGTATTATAGAAAGCTTTCCTAAACCCAAAGACTATGAACTTGGCTACCTTCGATTTGACTCAGATGGTTACAACAATTCATATATCCAATAAACGTAACCCTACATTCTTTGTCTGGTAGGGTCCTTCTTCAAACTCCACCTCCAGAAAAAATCAAGTAAGACCGCAGAATAAACTGGAACATTATATTATGCCCATATGCTCCTGTTAAATTTCTTTCTCCGTAAAACCTGAGAATGTATCATCGTTTCGGAGAAACTTCAGCCAATCCACAATCCTTCTTCTTACGCAACAGTGGTCCTCAGTCAATCTGAAAATCTATAGCAAACTTATACTTCCTTTTAGGTTTTCATTTCTTTTTAATCATCAATAAACGTGCTTTCTTGTACGCATCGCCCAAAACCATGACTAAGGTCAATCTTAACTTCTTCCTCTTGAGATACAACTTTGTATGGAGAATGATGTCCCACGGGTACTGGTTACACAATTGAGTAACCAAGTAACATATTGCCCAAGGCTATATACCTTATGGGAGTGTGTTATTGTAACAAATTTCATCAAATAGTATCTGGCATTGTCCTTTTAGAGTTGAAAACTCAGTGCTATATATTAAGGTGCTTTCCATGATATTGTAAGCTGACCATAACTCCTTGGGTGGGTAATAAAGAGGGAATAAATTCGAATGAAAATGTGAAAGATTGACATCTTAAAGCAGAGGAACACGTTTGAATTTCCATTGGAGTAATAACATTCCATCGGCATTCATGATACTATAAATATCGATTACGTAATCTCAACTGATAGGACGCAAAACCCCAAACTTTATACACAAACACAACATCATAATAATAAGACAACTCTCTATTTATACATTCATCCAATAAACATGGTGTCCAATAATAACGGCGTGTCGGCAGGCAATCATGATGCTGTGGAATTCAATGGCATGGATGTGGACGATGCAGGACAAGAAATGGATATAGATGATGCCATTCAAGATTTTCTTGATGATATGAATGATGATGATGACGAACATGAGGATGAGAGTGATGAAGGGGAAGGTGGCGATGAACAAGAAGAGTTTCTTGATCTTTCTTCAGAGAGTGCTTACAGTGAAGAAGAAGATGATTATGACGAGAATTTCGATTTTCAAGAAGCATTGAGAGGTGCTGGTAACTTTCGACAAAAGAATAAGAGGAAGACTGCAAGATCTAAGTCATACTGGAAACAGAAAATGATGAGAAGTTCAAATAGAAGTTTGGATCCAGAAGTAAGATCGAATTTGTCTCAAGCTAATGAAGCCTTTGTGCGTAAAGATTATCAAGTAGCACAGAATTTATATTTGGAAGTGATCAAACTTGATCCTAAGAATTTCAATGCCTATAAAACCCTTGGAGAAATATGTAAGCTTCAAGGTAGACTTGCAAAATGTTGCAATTATTGGTTTTTGGCTGCTAATATTCATAGTTGGGATAGTGGATTTTGGGCCCAGGTGGCTGAATTAAGTAATGATTTAGGCTTAATTGATCAAGCCATATATTGTTATGGTAAAGCTATCGCTGCTGACAATACAAAGAACCCAAAATATATTCTTGCAAGAGCAATATTATATAAGGAAAAACGTCAGTTTGGGAGAGCTTTAGAAGGGTTCCAAAGACTTCATCAAATGTTCCCAGCTGATACTACTGTGGTGAAAAATCTTGCTAGTGTTTATGTGGATCAAAAACGGTTGAATGATGCCATTAACCTTTATGGTGACATTTTAGATAGGAATATGAGTGAAGGATCTAGTAATGAACTAGGACGATTCCCAAGATTTGGATGGGCAGAATTAAACATTTTAACAGAATTGTATATTCAACAACACTCTTGGCGTCATGGTTTGAAGATAATTAAGGTAGTAGCTCGATGGCTACAAAATAGAGAAGACGAAACTTGGTGGGAAGATCATGATGATGATTCTGAATTTGATTCTCAGAGAAGAACAAGAATATTAGATCAGTTATCACAACCAATTAAAGCAAGAGCATCAAAGAAACAATTCCAAATACCTATTGATATTAGATTTAAAATGGGGTTGCTCCGATTATCATTGAATCAAAAAGATGAAGCAATGCATCATTTTGAATTTTTACTTGAAGATTCAGACGATATTGTTGATCTTTTCTTTGAGGCAGGAAAAGTCTTAGAAAGCCAAGGATATTATGAAGATGCATTGGTATTTTTAACTAGGGCTTCACAAAGTGATGAATTGAGTCAATCTGCTGAACTTGTATCTTTATGTGGTAAATGTTTTCTGGAAGTTGGGGATTATCAACAAGCTTCTAGAGCTTACCAGGCATTGCTTTACGGCGATCCCGATAATTTAGAGTTTAAGCTTTCTTTGGCAGAAGCATTATATCATTTGGGAGATGCCGAAAATTCAGCACATTTATTACAAGAAGTCAGCAATACAAGAGCCAAATCTTCTGATCTGATGTCAGATATGCTAGAAGATGACGATGAAGAACCAGAAGAAGAAGAACACCCTGACGAGCTATCAATTATCAAAACCAAACATATGATCAAATCTAATAAGAAACTTTCAAATCAAGAGAAGGAAGAGATTGAAAATAAGGCTCGTAGAAGAGTGTTGGAAAAATATGGAAGAATGAAAAGATTAGAAGACTCTTTGAAGAAAAATGATAAGGTTGCAATATCAGCCTGGATGCAACTTGCATTTCAATTGGTAGAGATGTTTATGGCTGTCAGAAGTTTCTTCCCCAAAGATAAAAATAGGATATTTAAAGGTGTGCTATTGTATCGAAGGATAAAACCTATGGGAATTGATGAGAAACTTGCCAGAGTCTATAATTTGCACCAAGGAATGACTGAAGAAGAAAACAATAATAGAAATGCCTTTTCTTCCACCACTGAATATAGAGGACTTACTTATGATATTTGGTTTAGCATATTTGTTCAATATGCACTTTTGCTTGCCAATTTTGAAGGAAATTTAGCATATGCTTCACAGATCATTGAAGCAGCACAGGAGGCCAGCATTTTCTCGCAAGACAAATTTAGAGATTCTGTTTTAAAAGCTGTTCGTTTAATGTTTGGAATAATGGGTGAAGAATCTCTGACTTCAGTTGTGACACATATTCGACATTTCCTTGCTAACAACCAATTTTCAAGGTATATCTATATTTTCTTCATGTGTTGTTTCCCATCAGGACTTGGAAATTGGGAGACTTTCACCAATTATAATCACCAGAAGTATTTTTTGAGACAATTGAAAGCATATGATTCATTATTAACATCAACAAAAATCACTGGAATGGCTACTATCACTGCTAAGATCGATGATTATCAATTTACAAAGGAACCATGCGAATTGCTTTATATTTATGCCAACTTATTAGGAGGCTCTCGAAGTTATGTTTCATCCACTGTCTATCTCAGTCGAGCATACAAACTGTATAATCGAGACCCCATGATTTGTCTTGTGATAGGCCTTTCTCATGTTCACCGAGCAATGCAAAGACTTAGTACCAACAGACACATTCAGCTTCTCCAGGGGATTAGTTATATTTTAGAGTACAAGGAACATCGACTTTTAAGTGCTACAGTTTACGAAGAAACCGAGGTGGAGTATAATTTAGGTCGTTTGTTCCATATGCTTGGGTTGCCCACGTTAGCCATCCGTCATTACGAAAAAGTGTTGATGTTACTGGAACTGATTGAAGATCCAACTTTTGATCTACTGATGGATGCTGCGTACAACCTTACGTTGATTTACAATGTCAATGGGAACTCACGAAAGGCCAGAGCCATTATGGAAAAGTATTTAACCATTTGAGCTTAGAATAACGAATGAACATGGCAACAAGACAAAGCGGTCGTAGTCTTAGTAGTAATACATTCGCAGTAGTAATTGTAGCTGTCGCGATAGTATTCTAGTGGTGGTCAAGCTGATGGAGATTTGGTGCGAACCGAAATTTAAAACGGTCAAACGGCGATGAGCATCACCAAAACATCACTGGGTGTATTCATTCACAATGGTTAGACTCAAGCAACGATATATATTATTTGATATTCTTTATCCACCACTGGACGATTCAAGTAGTAATTTCCTTACGTACGGCACGAGTCCTGAAGAAACATTACTAAATGTCCATCATACGTCTGGCAGCAATGTGAATGCCAAAACACTAGTGAACTTAATCCGGAAAGTAATGCAAGATCATTATGGAGACTTTGGCGTTGGGACTGCTGGAATGGCTCTAACCATTAAATATTTTAGTAACAAGACATCTCGAGGAATCCTTCGATGTAAACGTGAAGCGTGTCCAATAGTCATGGCCACACTAGCACTTATCACAAGAATTGGTGACACACCTGTGATTGTATCTACTGTTCATGTTAGTGGGACCATTAAGAAGTGTGAACTGTTCTCCATTAAAGACAGCAATAACAAAATAGCCTTATTACGTCGGAGCACTGTGTCTTCGGAAGCCTCTGTTGCCGCTTATGTACTCAATTTACAACGAGAACGTAATGAGTTACAGATGGTTTCTGACGACGAGGAAACGGAATAGAGAAGGAACTACAGTATCATCAAAAAGCATCATCAAAATTCAAACAGTCGAGTTTGGCCTAGTCCAGTCCAGTCCAGTTCAGCCCAGGTCTACCTTCAGTAGGATCATTTGGAAAATGGGTGTGCGGAAGCACAAACGCATACAAATCTCTTTGTATGCGATTAAAAGTCTACCGACTGAGATAATATTAATTTCACCTATATAAAATAACCATGAGATCCACAGATACATTCATTCATTCCTAACTATCATATCGTTTGGTTTTAACTATTAACCATGGACAAAGCATCAGTTGACTACACTCTTTATTTGGTGACGGATTCCACCATGATCCCCGCCAATAAAACGTTCTTGGATCAAGTGTCTCAAGCCATAGACAATGGGGTTACGCTTGTTCAATTACGGGAGAAGTCACTTCTGACTCTTGATTTCATCAACAGAGCAAAAGAAACTCTCCAATTGTGTAGAAAGAAGGGGATTCCCTTGATCATCAACGATAGAGTGGATGTTGCTCTCGCTGTTGATGCAGACGGAGTACATGTGGGTCAAGATGACATGCCAGCTACATTAGTACGGAAATTGATTGGTCCAGATAAGATTTTGGGTCTTTCATGTGGGATCCCTCTGGAAATGGAGAAGGCAATAGAAGAAGGAGTAGTTGATTATGTTGGGTTTGGTGCAATGTTTCCCACAAAGACGAAAAAAGATATCAAGTTGGATCGGTTTGGTCAAGGACCAATAGGGATACGGAGATTGTTACGTACACTTGAGAAACATAACTCATCAAGTGAAAGGAAAATCAAATGTGTGGCTATTGGTGGAATCAACCAATCAAATGCTGCGAAAGTGTTATATCAATTGAATACGCCTACTCAGAAGGTTGATGGGCTTGCAGTTGTTTCATGTATAATGGCAGCTCCTGATGCCGCTAAGGCTACCAAGGATTTGATTCAAATAATTCATACCCCTGCTCCTTGGACTCAAGCACTTACTATTACTAAAGAGGAACCACAATCACTCGAGAACAAGATTAAGACTGTTACCGCTAAATCACCTTTGGTTCATCATATAACGAATGGAGTGGTAAAAAACTTCAGTGCTAATGTGACGTTAGCCATTGGTGCTTCTCCAATCATGTCAGAATTCGGGGATGAATATGAAGAGTTTGCTTCCACCATTGATAACATTTGTTTGGTGCTTAATATTGGAACTCCATCGCCTGAAATGATGAATCTTTTCAAACATGCCCTTCAAACCTACAACAAATACGGGAGAATGATTTTATTGGATCCTGTAGCCTGTGGTGCAACACAAGCAAGACTAAATGTTGTTAAGGAACTACTTAATTATGGACAAGTTAATGTCATTAAGGGAAATATTGGAGAGATATCAGGTATCTTAAAATTAACTAGCACTTATAAGCAGGCTAATGGTAATGAAGAAGAGGTGTTGATGAAGGGAGTGGATTCAATCGCTCAACTTAATGAAGATGATATTATTTCTACAGGGAAACAAGTCTCCAAAGACTTTAAAGTGGTTGTGGTGATTTCAGGTCCTATTAATTATGTTATTCATCAAGATAGATATAAGAGCATTCCAGGTGGTCATCCCCTCATGGGAACAGTTACAGGAACAGGATGCAGTTTAGGAAGTACAATTGGATCTTTTATTGGTGCTCAAGCTGATGGAAGAAACAAAGACAAGTTTGATGTGTATGAAGCTGTGATTGGAGCCGTAGAGCTTTATAATAAAGCAGGAAGAGAAGCTGCTGAAGAAGCTAAAGGTTCTGGAACATTTATGGTGAAGTTCATTGATAAGCTCTTTGAAAATACTCACAATATTTAATACAGTATCATTACAGTAATACAGTATCATTACAGTAATACAGTAAATTAGTATGGTAAATTAATGTACTATAGCACATAACATCCATTGGTCCAGTCGTGTGAGACACCGGAAATGTTCTCTCAATCTGGTATTGTTTTCCGAGATTCATCATTCCACACTCATGAACTGCCAGTTGTATCACTAAAATGCTCGTACAACTGAACTTGTCACGCAGTTGTTGCTTTTGACTGAGGATAATACCATAACTATATCAGACAAATTAAATCCTGCTGTCTTATATGATTGGATAGCAGAATACACTAGTTAATACACTACTTTTAACAATCCCAATATATCCTGCGCTACCTAAAAATGCTGGTCCCGGTCAACCGTATCTGTTACACAAAACACCCTGCTAGATGATGTAGATGGAGGAATAACGGGATAAATAGATCCCCCTAAATAAACAAACAACAACAAACAACTTTACTAAAAGGATCTACTCCATAGCAAATCTCCTTTTAAAGCTAACAAACAAAAGCAAAGCGATAATTTGACGTGTCAGTTTTATCATTAAGCTTCAACCCTTTCTCCTGAGTCACATCTTTCCACTTTTGCTCAGCTCATCTCGTCCCCCCTCATTGGACCCAAACATCAACATAATATTATGACATGGTACTTCAAGGCATCGAGAACATCCATATGCGTACGGCTGCTGGTAATAAGGCATCCCGTCCAGGTAATAGTAATATCGGTACTAAGGTCCTGAAACTGAAACTGAAACTGAACCCCAGAACAACCAAAAAAGTTGGTCCTCAAAAACCATCACCAGTATCTGCTATCACCAAAATAGGTCTGATGAAACGGTTTTTTGATCCTGATGTATCTTTAGATATGCTTCATGAATTAGCAAGACTTGTTGGACCTCTTATGCATCGTCATAAGTTTACAGTTGGAGTCTTGTGTGAGTTTTATCCATCAAACCCGAGTTTACTTGGTTTGAATGTTGATAGAGGTTCTAAGATTATGTTAAGACTTAGACACCCTGGTAGTACTCTGTATCTTCCCATGAACGATATTGTTGGGACTTTACTCCATGAATTAACTCATAATTTATATGGAGCTCATGATGCTCAGTTCTACAAGTTCTTGGACCAGTTGAAAGAAGAATACGCCGATGTTCACTTTAGAGGCTTGGGACCCAATACTAGTGAATACGTTTGTGAAGAGAATAAGTTGGGTCATAGTAATTCCAGATTGCCTTCCAGCTCGAATTATGTTTCTGTTAGAGAGAAGCGACTTAAGGCAGTAACTAAGACCACTTATAATTCCGAAAGACGGAAATTGGGTACTACCACTGTGACACCTAGAAATGCAGTATCTAAACCTCGAGTAGGAACTACTGATTTACGTAATGCTATTTTGGCTGCAACTGAACGAAGAATTGCTGATTCAAAATGGTGTTCTGATCAACTTGCAATGGATGAAGATGTCACTTGTGATGCTGATTTGATTACAGTGGTTGATTTGACTAATCATGAATATGAGGATGATGATGCCTTGAACACACCTACAAAAGAAATCATTGTGATTGATGGATGTGAAACATATAATAAATTCAGTCAATCAAAAAAGAATGATAATCTGCCGGAACCCCCCGTGGTGACTCAATTGTTAGAACCTTTCGAATCGAAATCATTTCCTGAATCATCATCACAAACTGTGGATAATACCAAGCAGCTGGACTCGGAGAATACCGATACAAATGCCCAAAGTCCACTCACACATCGTGAACCTATTGGATACTTGGTTTCTGTATCTCCCAGTCGATCATTCTTCAACGAAGGTATCATTTATCCTCGTCGCAAATATGTGGCTAATCTTACGTTTGAAGAGATAATACGAAGGTCTCGTGAGATTGAGATTCATTTGCTGGAAAGACAAGAACAACCGGATTTGAAACCTTCATCTGAAGCCATGGTTTCACGTTCAGGGAAGCACAAGTCTAATGGAAGATTTGATAAAGTGATCAAGAAGGCGAGGCCTTCTACGCCCTCTACCAGATCTATTCATAAGTCGTTAATACGTAAAACCAGTCCAGCACCCGAACCTCAATCTCATGCTAAGACAATCTAATTGTAAATTAATACCCGTTGGACTCTCTCTATATTTTTATTGTTTATAATACCTTGATAATTAATGTATATATATGTAGTACAAAATATGTGACCCTTGTGCTCAAGCATAGCAGAGTAAAAAATACTGAATGTATGTGGTAGCGCCACGGAGAATTTATCGTCACACCACAAGACCAACAAGAATCAACAATAATTCTTTCTCCTCATAGTTAACTATTTATATATCATAGGTAAATAGTAAAAGATGGCGTCGGACTTACGGAAGGCTGCTCTCACCAACAACAGCGCGTCGACCGAGTCATTGATTGGCGAAAGGAAATCAACTCAACTACAAACCAGCGAATCCGAAGTTAACTTGATACGACCAGCTTTATACAGTATTTATAATACCGATAGTGTGACTGAGTTAAGTAAAGATGACGAAGACAATGCATCATTCATTGAGTTTGCCACCAAGGAACAATTGAAGAAACATGAACAACAAAGACAACAAGAAGTTTTGATGAAAAACAAACGCACTCTTGTTGAAGAGATCATCATCACCATTGTGAAACTTGCTTGTATGGGAGCCAGTGCATTCTTTTATAATTGTTTGGTCTCATATATTACATCTCGTCAAATTGATTCTACTGAATTCCAACAGCAATTCAACATAAGTAAAGGATTCTTACAAAGATTCATTGCTGGGTTCCGCATTAGTAGACATGTTGATTGGATTCCATCAAAATTAGATTCCATTGATGAAATTGTTGGTTTATTATTCCAAGGTTTGGTGATGAGTCTTTTCCATCCATTAATGGATTCTATTCTTCCTTCTTCAATGACTAGAAGGTTATTACTGTCTAATCCCGATGCTGCTAAGTCTCTGCGTCAGAACTTCTTCAATGATTCTTTAAGAGCAGTTGTTGCAGTATTGGGAGTATCTTACGCCATTCGTAAGATTGAATTCAACAGTATGTGGCAGATGTCCGTTGTCTGGTCATTACTTAATCCTTCTCTTTGGCTCTTATTGGATGGTACATTGAGTGGGTTCATTGCCTCGACTATTGTGACCCTTGCTGGTTGTGTTCGTATTTATTTCCAGAATAAAAAGGCATGTCAGGCTTTAGCCTTATCAATGTCTTCGGAATATCATGCTATTTGGTTGTGGATTAGTAGCTTCTTCTTTTGTGGGGTTATCATCTTTGGTAAATTGGGTAGAAGTCTTTTAACTTGAACAAGAATCCTACTAGATTGAATTACATAATCAATGTATACATATTAGTATAATATATTGCCTATACAGAATTGAGTGTGCTTAGTATACCTAGTACCAATACTATTTGTTTCCTGCATATAGTCTGGCCAATCATGATATGGTGTGAAGTAACCCTATAGAAAAAAATCAATGCTACAACAAAAGCTTCAACTGTTGAACTCTCCATTACATTATAACCAATCATGTCAGGTGGACCCGTGCCCATTTGGAAGAAGTATACAAGTGGATCTAACGGAATATGGGAAAAGGTTAGACAAATATTTGCACTTGTCCCCAACAGATCTTCTGGTAACCCAGTGGTGAAATATTTTAGAGCTGTTCCACCAGGAGCCAGAGTGGAAGAAGCAAATCAATATAAAGATCCATTCACTGTACCAGCTGGTGATATTAAGGGGAACAACTATTTTGATAGAGATTACAGAAGAAACTACCCACAATTGCATGCCTTTGATCAAACCAAAGTTTCAGGGTTATTAAGTTTAGGAAGTGCTGCCAACTCAAGAGTAAGTGTTGGAGAGAAGGGGAAGAAGGAACTTGCTGCATTTTCTGAACCAGTTAGTTTGTCCACAACTTTGACTCAAGGATCAATTCCTGTTGATGTTATTAATGGAGAATTATTAGGCTCTTCTGGTGAACCAATCTCTGCTCCTTCTAGAACACATGTTAAATGGACCATTTTACAAGAAGCACAACATGGTATGTATGCTGACAAATATCCATGTCGTATATTTACTGATGTTAAGAACTGATGTGTATTAAATTAAAGCTATTTATTCTTTCAGTTATGGTTATTATAAGTAGCTATGTCAGTATAAATATGATGTACTCCATACAATTCAAACCAATATTTTAGATAAGCTATGACATCTTCATTTGATCCAAGATGCTCTTGTAATGTTTCTGTAGTGCTGCAAGGATGTAAACACCACCAAGTTGTCCCCAATTGTGGAGGTATTTCCAACATGGCAGGGGGGACAGGACTCTCGGTGATAAAATGGCCATCTCCATCGAACCTCCGGAAATAGCACCGAGGAACCATCCATACATCATCATACACAATTGCACATTCTATGGTATGGTCTTTGGCAGTTGAGCTAATGTAAACATGTCCGTTCCTTCTATAGTGGTGATTGGTTCGAATCCGGGTAACCAACCACGCTAGGAATTGGTCTAAATGAGCTTCAAATTGTGATCGGGTCAATGTGGTGGCCATAAGAGTAAAATGAGACTAGCATGAAATGTACTATGGGAAACATGCAACAAACACCATAATTTAATTGAACGGCTTGTGGTGTTGACATAAGCATTTATATAAGCAGGGTATGTAATTTATTGTATTACGTTGTACTATATTATGATATCAGTTTATATATATATTCGTTAAACATGGTTGCAAGTTGTAGTGGATAACGTAGGTGATAAAGAAATAGACACATATAATGGTGACATGAATAGGTTCACCGTTAAAGGACTACTAAATTCATGATTCCTCTTCACCACCTCCATTATTAGGAGTTGATTCGTTCAATAAACCCAGTTTCCCATTAAACAATATTTGAGCATTATTAGAACTTATAGAGTTTCGATAGTACATTTCTTTAACTCTTTCAGCATTTGGATGGGTCATTGGTAAATTGGATGAACCACCAATATTACCACCTAACCCACCAGCTGCTGCTTTATTCCCTTGTTTCTGCATTGCATAATCTCCACTATCAAAATATTTCTTATCTTGAAACCTGCTACTTAAGATTTGTTGAGTGGAGGGCAACTTCCCATACATGCGATATATTCTAAGCTCTTGGGGCAGTAACTTTGATAAATCAATGTTCTGGGTATTCTTAGGTTCCAGAAGTGGATCCTCATCAGACATTGGAGATTGAGGTCTTCTTGCTTGAGCAGCAGCACTTGATCCTCCTCCAGAAGCATTTGGAGTAGATGTTGGTCCGGGGAACGACATCATGCAAAAAAAAAAAAATTAATTCCTATGGTTTAACTAATCTTCAAGTTTTCTTTTCCTGTTGAATTATTCTTTTTCTATGCCTTTATAGTAGACAATGGAGGGAATGGCCTTTACTCTTCTTTCAATGTATTTAGAGAGGAAGTTTGAGGGACGAAAGGGGTGTTTTCCATTGACTTTAAATTGTCTCAACGTTCGCCTTTCCCCAAATTGGGTCAGATCTCTTAGTCACACAAAAACATGTTTATGTTTGCTTATGTAATCATTTGCATATCACCAACGAAAAACTATTAAACACTGAAATAGCCCTTTACAATCCAGGGAACTATACAATACAAGATAATCCCCACATCAACTAAATATGCTATAGTTGTATACAACTCAATGGGTATTGGCAACACCTTTAGCAATGAGCTTGCATAGAGGAAGAATTCAAGATCACTATCTAAATCATTTGTTCCTGCTTTATTGGGGACGCCTTCAAATTGATACTCGATCACAAGATAAAGTGCAAGATCATCATCCATAAACTCATGAGAAATTCGAAACCGATACGGACTGCTGGACGGCCAACAGAGTTTCCAATAGACGGCGTTTTTAGATGAAAAAATACTGTCCTCGTAGTTATTCATTTTAACATATAGAACGTTCAGTGTATTCATTGGCACATGGGTTTGACTAATATGAACAAGATTATTATATTTTCCATATGTCAGAAAATTATAAATAGGAAAGTCGTAAAGATATTGATGAGTGCTGTTGATGCTGATGGGCAGGTGTTGTTGATCAACATATGGATCTGAATGAGGGAGTATATTATAGTAGTAGGGAATTGATAGTAGATAAGTTTCAGTATTGGCTTGTATCAACTTAGCACATACACTTAGTATTGCAAGTACTAATAATCTCATGGTGGTGGTGGTTATTATACACGTAAGTAAGCAGTATGGTACAGAGTAAGTATAAAGGTCAATGGTCCCTTTGAGATTTTTCACACGGGATAAGGAACCACACTTAGGAACACGACCCAAAGATCATATTCTGCATACACAAAAATTGTATTGATTACAGTTTGAACCTTCAACCTTTGAATTCATACTAATCATAGCTTTCTTTCAATATAAAGATAGATCTATTTAGGCGTGGAGATAATTACTGTATCGTATATAGTCGTATATACATATTTATCGTTCGTATAATAAGTTGGTATAAGTATCACCTTTAAACAACTAGAACCAACTAGAACCAGCTAGAAGGTAAACATTTTAACTCTATTCTATTCTTTTCTTTTAATGGATTGTATTTTCTTATCTTTTCTTTTCTTACTATGGCCATGCTGGGTGTTCCAAAGGAGGTAACGTAGAAAGTTCTATTCCAAACCCAAGTTGGTGCTGACAATAATCTCTAATTTTTTCCTTGTAGTAATCATCATCTTGGCATCTAATTGCCAACTCCATTGTTATTAAACGGGTATCACCCTTTTGGAACCGTCTCAAATAATAGTATAAGTTGTTTAAACTTATGGTCCATCCTCTTAACTTTAGAAAAAGCATATTAGGCAGCTTAAGACATGTAGTTAATATGCTGAATGTAAGGTCTTTTTCTCTTCTGACACCCTCTAAATAGACTTCTAATACTTCTAAAGATGCAAGGCCATCTAAATTGGATTCCCAAAGTTTGTTCCATCTTTCTCCACTAACAAATGAATTATAACCAGTATAAGTTAAATGCAACTTTCGAAGTTCATTCTTGGGGTTGAATTGACAAAGATGAAAGGGGTATTCCCAAACACAATCAGTCAAGTATATTTCTCTTAATGAAATGGTGTCTATACCTTCATACCAACCACAACTATAGTTAGTTAAATGAAGAGTTGCCAAATTAGCAAACCCCACCACATGCAGAAGGGAAAAGTTGGGTTTCAACAATTCTGATTTCCTATCATCTTGGACCAAAGATAGCTTGTTGATATAATGATTTGCTCTATATTTTAGCCAAGATGAACTTCCCTTGGAATGGAACACCAAATATCTTAAGGATGTCAAATCATAAATATAATCATTGATATCAACTTGCCATTCACCATACAAATCTGCTTCTGTTATCCGTAATTCTAAAATGAAGTACTTATATGTGTCAAGGAATTTTCTGGCTTCGGGAGTAACCAATCTTTTCCAATCTGTTTTAATTCTTTTAAACAAAATAGATTGCAAGGCAAATCGATAACTTTTATTGACTGAGGAAAGGGACATTCGATCAGAAACACTCAAGTAGTCTAAAATCATTTGTTGAATATCCCAAGGTAAATCTAGGAAAGTTGGACCCTTTGATGGTATATCAATATGAAATTTAATATGGTCTAGAACATCTGCTTTAGATGGAAGATGAGAAACAATCCCTTCCAGTTGTCTGCTACGTTTGATGGGAGCATCATCCTCCAGTTCAGAGAACTCACGCTTCATGATGGGTGGTCGTCGTCTTCTGCTTCTCCTTCACCAACAGCACTTTAACTTTCACTAATCTTATTCACTGACTCACTCACTCTTCTACCAGGGTTTTTTGTTGAAAAAGAGACAAAGGGTAACCAAACACCCATAATTTCACCGCAACCGTTTCGATCTTAGTTAAGATTCATGCCGATACTACTGCACACAGCCCCACCCTGTTCGGTTATAGTTCGGTGGCCAGGTCGGAGATTACTACTTCCGTTTGAGAATTTCATTACAGTAGAATGTGACAAAGGACATCGGGGAAGGCTGGAGATGAGCTATAATTGAATATATCTAGCTATGGCCAGTTAAAGAGAATGTTTGTCGAATGTTAGCTGGATGTTTTCCGAGGTGAAGGAAGGCTTAAAACAATTTAAAGGGTGTTGACTGCGTACAAGCAAGAATGTAGTGTGATGTAGGTGGAGCGGAGTATTTTACGTTTCCAAGTTTATGATCACTGTAGACAATACTGTAGAATTGTACTATTGGTGTAATTGAGTCGGTGATTGATTAACCAGTCGTGGGTGGAGTTTATTGTGCTATTGACACGAATGTAAGGTAAGGTGAGATATAGTGCCCTGTTTTTCATACAGTGACAAGCTCAAGAAGTTTACAGTTTAATACAAGGTACAGATGGAATTTCACTTCAGCGCATTTACTATGCATCATAGCATCTGGAATTAGTACATTAGTTTAATCTTCTTCATTATCACTTTCATCATTACCGTGTTCATCGTTATTAATATCTACGACGATCATACGTAGTACTCTTCTTCAGTATCAGTAATTCGTTTTCGCACTACACTAGAACTACAGCAACCACCACTCTCTTCTTTTACAATTTCATCATGTGGTGGGATATTATAACTGAGGATATCAAGACTAACTTCCTCAGCAGATTACCCATCTATGTTCTCTTGGACGGCGAGTCGTTTCTTCCTCCCTTCAGCTCAGCATGGGTGGCTCAGCCGCATACCCCTGAAACTCATCTTCAAAGAATAGGCTACGCTTTAGTTACCACTTCATGCTGGATCCTTGACGTTGCTTACGCCATGTTCAGGTTAGCATTATCATGTATGGTGATTGGATGCATCATAGGAGTGTTGATGTGTTCCATGACTTGGATTACGGTGACATTAGTTCGTCGATGGCTGATTATGGGGAAACTAATATCGCATGTTTCTTTAGAGGGAGTATTCTGATGGAGGAACACGGAGAACAATTAATTATCAGTATCAAGTTGAGTTAACACTGGAACACTATGCAATAGAAACATAACAAAGCAGAACTGAGTATATCACAGTACGGAGTACATCGACGAAGCGGTTATATCAGAGAATAAGTGCAACACAGAACAGAGTACACAAAAGACGGAGCATACCAGACAGAACGCTACATGTACATGATTACTACTGATTGCTTGATAAAACATACTCGTCTACTTGGCTATAGCAGACAAATGCACTCATCTAATAGATAGATACCAGCTACGCGGGACTGTTTCTTTTTACGTTCCGTGACCCTATGTACCGCGCTACCGATGTTCCCTCTAGCTTTGACCAAACACTCAAGTATAGTCAAATTTAGAGTTTAGCCAAATTTCTTGGACTATTTCTATACCAACTTGTGTGTCTTATGGCTCGGCTCAAACATGGAGACCAATGGAGGCAAGCATCGGGGATACAGCGTGTATTTCCGAATGGCCTTTCAAGGGTTTTTGGTAATGGTAGCTGTTGTATTTGTACAGAGAAGTACTATGGTTCGACAGTGGATCAATGGTGAAAATATTGTTACCAACAGATGGAATAGACTTTGGGAAGTCTCAAGCTCGGAAGTTAATCAAGGGTTATTACTATTCTCTTCGTTTGAGCAGAATCCTGAAGATCGATTTCCGTGGGACGATTATAGGAAATATGCCTTCACAGCAGTCGGAGTGTTCGTAGTTATTATGGGAACAATATTAGGTACATAAAATTAAACGTTAATAAAGAAATGAAAGATAAAAAGTTCATGTATTGTATGTCTATATATATATGTCTATGTTCTTCTGTCGATGACTATTACCAACCTGGATCTTGGGTATCCCAAATCAAAGTAACGGGCCCGTCATTAGTTAATTGAACGTCCATCATAGCACCAAATTGGCCGTCTAATACTCTTGATTCGTCGCCTAATCCGGTTCTCATAGTCTGTAAGAACTCATCATACAATTCCACCGCATGATGGCCCTTTGCTGCTCTATGGAAGTCGGGTTTAGTTCCCTTTTTAAGGGTACCATAAAGGGTAAATTGAGAAACACTCAACACTTGCAATTCGCTATCATCAATCAATGATTTAGCCCATGGTCTCCCTTCCCACTTGGTCTTTGTATCAGGAGGGTTAGAGAAGTCTTCAAACACCCGTAATCCAAGTAATTTCTTAGACAATTTGGCCACATCTTCTGAAGTATCTTTAGTATTGATACCCACAAGAAGCATAAGTCCCTTTCCAATGCTGTATAAAGGATGGTCGTTTGTTAGTATCACCATTTACTAAGAGTTGAATTGACGATGGCCATACCTTGAAATCACTTGTCCTTCCACGGTGACAGAGGCATTCTTAACCTTTTGTATAACCACTCTCATTGTAACTGTTTCTTTGTAGTGGTGGTGATAGTTTGTTCTGTGAGTTGTTCTGTTTGTACGCTCGAATTTTTCTGTCTACCTATTTTGATGCACTACTACGATTGTTACAGTAATACAAGGTAATGCAATGATTACACTAATTATGGGCGATGTTCGACGATGTTCTTCATACTAACTGTAGCGGTCATCAGATAAAATGAACCGAATAAAATACCTTATTCCCTCCCAAGTCTCCAAGCCAACAGGTTCAATGTATTTCGCTGGTAAAAGGAACCCATGGTTACCACTATCTCTTAATTTAAGTTGGAAGGCCCAAATGGCACCATATTTGTACATATAATCCAAAGCTGTGCCCGCTCCAAGATCAGGAATCAAATCAGAATCACGGTCAATACAAGCAGGAAGAACATCATAGTATACTCCAGAATGTTGTCTGATAGCTTTAGCAATGCCATAAGCTAATTCTATCAAATTCTCTTCGTCCCTTGGCTGATCGTCGCATGAATATGCATAAGGATAGAGAATGTCTTGAGAATAGGAGTGAAGATCAACATAACCCCAAATATTATGGTGGAATTTCGTCGTGTTCATGTGTTGATACCACAACCAAGATTCTTTGGCTTCAAATGCGTATTCACCACTGTAATCTTCACCACAAGCCCAATCACTTGAATGAGTCCAATGGAAATCAAAGGAATGATCAATATCAATCCCTACACATCCACTAAACTCAGTGGGTTGTCTATTCTTTCTCCATAATCTGTCGTTACTCCAAGTGTAAGCATAACCATCCGGGTTCATTAAAGGTGCAATGATGAAATCTAACCGAAGAGCTGCATCCAGTCCAGGGTATTGAGAATAAAAGTTAACCATCTCATAAATTGCATAAAGTGAAGTGGAAACAGATATCCATTCTCTTGCATGAGTCCCACCAGTGATAAGAATTGTTCTTTTGTCTTTATGTTCTCCATTAGGTGATCTTATGTGAATATGATCGTATTTTCTTCCTTCAGGTGTGGCACCAAGATATTGACGTTCAACTAATTCAGGATATGCTTGGACCAATAAATCTAACCAAGCTTGAATGGTTTCCAAAGGACGATAATCTTTAAAGAAGATCTCTGAGGCAGCATGGAATCCTTCCTCCTTTGATATTCTAATGATATCTTCAGTGATTTGATAGGTAGGTTCATTAATTTCTTTCTCGGTGGTGGCCCTCATCTTTCGTTCCTGCTTATCTGGATAAGATTCAAATACACTTTGAGCCAAATCTTCAATGATGACTTTATATGGAAGATTTTGAAACGAAGATATCAATTCAGGTAATGCATCTTGTTCCATTTCTATATCAATAAACAGTTTACTTCCCTCGGATTTGGACCATAACCGATAAGCACTCGCTTCACGAACAAACCTTACAAACTCACCAGTATAATCGCAGAATCTCACCACTATCCGATTACGATATTGTTCCAAATGAATAGGCCATTCATTCTCATCCACTTTGGACCAATGGAATGAAGATCCTTCGTCATCGTCACTGTTAGAAAGCAAGTCTTCAAACATCCCTCCAAGTGGTATTTGAAATGCTAAGACATAGCTAACGATGCATAGAAGCACCAATGCCAGCCTTGTCATTTTTCAGTCAAATATATAATATAAAGCGGTGATGATATAAAAGAATAAGGCTGTGGAATGCAGGGTTACAGTTTAGAGTTTTAGAGATACTAAAGTCATTATTCGTTGACCCCATTATTCAGTATTGCCAATCTTAGCTTACTGGACACAAACTTGATTCTGTCCGGGGGGAACCCACACGGAGCACGTGACACGTCAAAGGGCGCCATGAGCAAGCAATAGAGCAAATAAATAAAATACAAGGGCTCATGAACAATAGGTGGTTATGGTCGCGCTGTACTAGTGGCAATTATAAGGAGGTATGTATAATGCGTAAAGCGTTGTAAGGTCAATGTATGATATCAAGAGTGATGTAGGTGTGAGGTAGATGGACGTAATATTTGATTACGTAAGCAATTGACATACTCGATTGGCAGAGCTTTGCAGACTAGACGACTCTTTCTATTACATTTTTTCTACATTCCAGAAACAAGGTTTTGGATATAACTCATTTTATATCCTAGGACATACAATTACTAAACTTTCCTTTGTTGGGTATAGTTGATCAGGTGGTTATATATCGTATTCCGGTTTGCACACGATAAATACCGGAGTTTACACAAAGTAGACTCCGGGGTATGCACCCATAATCACGACATCTGAAAAATTATACCTTAATATTACTACGGTTTCTTCCTTATCGTAGTATCGACGTCGTTTGAAAATGCTTGGAGCCGCCAGAAGAAGTGCTTTGAATATTGGTGTGCGTGTGGGAGCACGCAGGACTTTGAAGTCCGTTACTTCTGGTATTTTCAGTACAAAAATTACCAGATCAAATGGAGGAGACCGAGTCAGACTTTACTCTTCAAAAGTAGTACCTTTAACAGCAGAAACATATGCTGATAAGGTTAAATGGAACCCTGAGTTTAAAAAGCTTGATGATGAAGACATCAAGTACTTCACCTCTGTGTTAAACAATGCTAATGATATCATTACTGATGAACAAGATTTATTGTTCTACAATGAAGATTGGATGCGCAAATACAAAGGTCAATCGCAACTTGTATTGAAACCCAGAACAACCGAACAAGTTCTGGAGATCATACTGTACTGTAACAAGAACAAGTTAGCCGTGGTTCCTCAAGGAGGGAACACTGGTTTGGTTGGAGGGTCAGTTCCTGTGTTTGATGAGATTGTTCTTTCGCTTGCTAACATGAACAAGATTAGATCATTTGATGATGTCAGTGGGATTCTTAAATGCGATGCTGGTTTGATCTTAGAAAATGCCGATAACTTCCTTGCAGAGAATGGTTACATATTCCCACTTGACTTGGGGGCTAAGGGTTCTTGTTTTGTTGGAGGTGTTGTAGCTACCAATGCTGGTGGGTTAAGACTTTTAAGATATGGCTCATTACATGGATCTGTATTGGGTTTAGAAGCTGTTTTACCAGATGGTACCATCTATAACTCAATGCACAGTTTGAGAAAGGATAACACTGGTTATGACTTGAAACAATTGTTAATTGGTAGTGAAGGTACTTTGGGAGTGATTACTGGTGTATCTATCTTGTGTCCTTCAAGACCTCAAGCTGTCAATGTAGCATTCCTTGCTGTTTCATCGTATGAAGCTGTTCAAAAGGTATTTGTCGGAGCCCGTAAGGAATTGCTGGAGATTCTTTCTGCTTTTGAATTTATGGATGATAAATCCCAGATTCTTACTGCCAGACATTTAGGGTTGGAACACCCCATTGAAAGTGGACAATATCCATTTTACATACTTATTGAAACCTCAGGTTCCAACAAGGATCATGATGATGAAAAGTTGGAAACCTTTTTAGGGAACATGATGGAAGAAGGTTTAGTTGATGATGGGATCATTGCTCAAGATGAAACCCAATTGAAGAGTTTATGGACCTGGCGTGAGGCCATCAGCGAAGCCTCCACTATTGGTGGGGGTGTATACAAATATGATGTTTCTATTCCTCTAGCTGATCTATACTCTTTGGTGGAAGACACTAGTGCCAGATTGAAGGAGGCAGGAATGGTTGATATCGACGATGATAGTAAGCCAGTGGTTGAGGCTATAGGGTACGGGCATGTTGGAGATGGTAACTTACATTTGAATGTGAGTGTTAGAGAGTACTCCAAGGCTATTGAAGAAGTATTGGAACCATTTGTCTATGAATGGATTCAAAATAAGAAGGGATCTATCTCTGCTGAACATGGGTTAGGCTTCCAAAAGAAGAATTATATTGGATACTCTAAATCAGATGTTGAGATTGAGATGATTAAGGACATCAAGAACCATTATGATCCTAATGGTATAATGAACCCCTACAAATATGTATAGATATAAATTAGATATTATTTATACATAACTTTGTAAATGTATATATATATATATTAGATATGGCATTACAACTTTTGATCTGGTCTTAAGATCGAACCTTCTTCATACAAACTCTTCAAGTTACTTTCAAAGTACTTGAACGCAAGAGGTCTTTTGATCTTGAGCGTAGGTGTAATGACATTCTTCTCCACCGTCAATGGTTCAATATCCAATTCTACATTGTGAACCTTTTCAAACCCTGCCAAATCCTTACTGGTGACACTATTCATTTCTTGTAAGAACTTCTTTTTATGGTCAAGTTCATTTAAAAACGCAACAATTTCCTTCGGATCACTGATCGACTTTTTGTAAGTCTTCTGAATCCAAGACACGATACTCACAGGGTCCACTCCAACTATAGCAACCAAATAAGTCTGGTAACTATCACCATGAATATACATTTGATTCAAATAGGGGAATCTGGCCAAATACGTGTTTTCAATCTTTTCCGGAGTAATGTATTCCCCTTGAGCCAACTTGAAAAAGTTCTTTACTCTATCAATGATATAGATTCGACCAGTATCCTTATCTACTTTGGCCACGTCACCAGTTTTGAACCAACCATCTTCATCAAAGGCTTTGGCTGTCTCTTCTTCATTCTTGTAGTACCCACTGAACACTGAAGGTGATCTGATCAACAATTCACCTTTAGGACCTTCTGGATCATTCGCAAAGTAATTCATATTGGGTAATTCTCTAATTCTAATCTCTGCGTTTATGGCTATGGCTCCACAGGAACCAGGTTCGCCTTCATATTTCAAGGAACTGCAAATACCTGCAAACGTTTCGGTTAACCCATACCCTTGACCGAATCCCATATTCAATATGGCTCTAAGGAAAACAATGGTATTGGGAGATATTGGTGCTGATCCAGTGGTTACTGAGACCACTCTATCGAATCCGAGTTTCTTTCTTAAGAGGCCACAGATCCTATCATAGAACCAATGGTGGCCCGCACAGTTGTCACCCTGTGATTGCAAGTCTCTTTTTACGGCATAGGCTCTCCCAAAGAGATTCTTGAGCACTGGGTTACCGTCATTGTAGATTGTGATTTGCTTGAGAGCAGCTTCAAGCTTGGTGAAAACCCGAGGAACAAGGGATAAGATATGGGGACGTAAATGCTTAATATCATCCATTAATGAAGCAGGAGACCCTGATTGTGGGAACCCGATCTGTGCTCCCAGGGAAAGACCAAACAGAACAGTAGCTCTTTCATAGATATGAGCAAGAGGAAGGAAACAGTAGACTGTTGGTTCATAAGGTAAGGAGATCTTACTCAAGATAAACGTAACTGCACTAACAGCATTAGCATTAGAAAGTATAACTCCCTTAGGGACAGAGCCAGTTGTACCTGAAGTGAAAGAAATGGTATAAATGGTTTCAGGCTTAGGAACAATTGGAGCCACTGGGTTGATTTCACCCAACTTTTCAACTTGTTCAAAGTCATAAAGTGCAATATCCATTTCCCTGGCAGCATTGATCAATGTTAAATCACCACTATCATTTTGGTTTAAAGGGTCCATTGATACGAGACAGATCAATTGGCTCAAGTCTTGAAGGTGTTCCCGTTTCAATTCAATCAACTTGGCCAACTTCTCCTTGGAACAAACAACTACTGGAGACTTGGTCAATTGTAAAATATACTTGGAAGTAGAGGGACCCAACGTATCATATAAAGCCGTATTGGTAACACTATAGGCCACAGTAGCCAAATCAGCAATAACCCATTCTGGCCGGTTGTGAGAGAATAAAGTCACAATTAGCTCTGAGCTTGGGTTACGGAGATGATCGTCAATTATAGAGTGCTGAGCATTCCGGTATTGGTTATGGGTTAAAGCAAATAATAAACCCGAGCCAAAGTTCAATCTTCTTTTATGAATTGTATCATATGATTCCCATTCATAAGGACCAAAAGATGTCCCGTCTTCAAGCAAACTTCTTTTCCCAAAGGCTGGAGAGTGTCTATGGATTTTCACTGCATTTTCAAACAATGCATAAAGGGTATCTAAAGAAGTGTGAGGTTTATCAAGCAACTGATCTTGACTCAAGATATTCCGATAAATAGGTGAATGTCCTGGTGTTTCTGTGTTTGGCAAGGGGACAGCCCTGTCGAGCTCATCGTAAACACTTTCGGAGGTTTTTCTTAACAAAGAATCCAAATAAGCTGGAGAATCTTGGAGCAATGCAGTTGCACTACTCATTTTGGACTTTGGTTGTATGAATATCACAATTGAACAGAGAGTATCTTGTGACGACTGAACAAAGGATTTACATACAAATTTATATATTTCAGATGCAGAGGGGGTAATGAACCTCGGTAGAACTCCGATATGCATTTCCTGTGTCTAAGCCTGTGTTTTGGGCCGAACGTACTTGTAGTAGTATAATCCCAAATGTGGGGAAGCAAACGTGACAGACTCTGGTGATGTAGATCAATATAAATGGGTACCAACTATCAACATATTATCACCACATTGTTTACGTTACTAGCAATTCATTGCAAGTTATGTAGAACCATACTAATACTATAGCACTATTATAGTAGCACCATAGTAGTGCTCTGTTACTACTACCTTAGTATCATACTGCTGGTATTGTGGGTGGGGAAATAGTGCACCATTTCTTGACTTAAAGTTCAATACCTTTTATCGGCTTGTATTGGTGGGGTGTAACCAAGAACTATATCAAAAGGTGTTCCACCATATGTGAATCCATCAATTGGTATTTACACAGGTTACCCCACATGATACATAAATCCCAATTAGGCAAGCCTTGTCCATTCTCGCCACATGAACAGTATTTGTTCTTGTCTTCTAATCTCCTGCGTGTTGTTCTTTATCTTGTGGTAGCGCCACGCGTAAAGGTTACGTGTTGAAAATTACAATCACAGATCAAACTGACTAGTGCTGTACTCTTCATCATCACTACATAACACCACAATGGTATGTTACCATAAGCCTACCCAATGCTCTCTCCTTACACGACACTAACCGATTTATAGGCCATTCAAACACCAAAGCAACGTCTTGCAAATTCCAGATTTGAAAAAAAGAATGTTAACAAATGGGGGAAACCAACTCCAACAAAGGAAAAGGTAGAATTACCATTATCCAAGACTTGGATTGTTATATTGGTATTTTTATTATGTGGTGGAGCTATTTTGGAAATACTTCGTTTGATCTTTAAATATTAAGAGAATCCAAATACTTTGTTATATATAAATGTACTATAGATACTCATAGCCTTTTGCTAATTTTAATGCACAATTTGAAACTTACCATACTTTGGATACTCCAATCACTGGGACAGGAGTAGCATCGATTTCATTACCAAAATCTTCTCCAAAATATTGGTCAATCAACCCATGGAATTGATCATGGTCATTGCATTCAGTGATCTTGTAGTTATGAAGACTGAGACGTGGATTGTTGATAGCATGAGTATAAGGAACACACGATTCCATTTCCACTTGAGACAAATGATCAAAGAAATACTTGATCTGTGGCTTTTCCACTACATTAGTATCATCATTATTGTTATTGTCTCCTCTATCTCCATCAGAGTCACTAAACGTATCGGTGATAGGAAATTGTTGATCATTTGTGGAATAATTTTGCTTTAATGCTTCAGCTCTAGCTGAACCCACAAGGTCAGGACTTAGTGGTGAACGAGGGAATTGAAACTTATAAAGCGATGACCCCGTTGCTGGTGAAACAAGAATCAAATCAAGAGCTTCATCAAGAATCGCCAACTCTTCACTACCTGGTTGAGAACATATCGAACCACTTTCTACCAGAGGTACTTTAGCAAACTTTCTAGCATCAATTGACGAAAGAATCCAGTTGTTTGAGTCCGTATTTGGTTTCTTTTGGCCAGTCAGACTTAAATAATTCAAGTCAAACCAATGAACCAGTCCATGTGATTTAGTAATACAACCAAACCCATAAGTCGCAGAACAGACTCCCAGTTTATCTCCATTAATATCTTTTTGAGAATCTCCTTTGGCAGTGTCATTGTTCATCATAGTTTTATTTCGTGATCCAATTCTGTTACGTTTAGTTTTAGAATAGTCATTGGCCTTCATTTGGTTCAACCAAACAATATCAATAATCTTTGCACTTGTCTTCCCTCTTTGAAATTTCCCAACAAGACTGATTTCGATTGGTAACTGATATAAGTCCCATAAGTAAAACGTATCGCCTCTTGAACCAACAGTTACCAAATGCATGTCGTAAGGTGAAAGTGAAACATGAGCCAAATCACCTCCAGGGGCACGGAAAAGCCCCAATACCTTATCATTTTCAAGATCCACAATTTTTACTAGTTGGTTCAGTTCTATTGGAGTTGAAGAGTTCAATGTTTCTTCCTCATTCACAGATGAAGAACTACGTACAAAGCCATCTTGTTTTGGATCTTCACTTGAAATGAGACTCCCATTCCCATGACCATTATTATGGGATTGAGATGCTTGAGCTAATTGATGTTGCACCGCAGACGTAGCCAGTGATGTCACATGTTTTGTTTGTTTTGTTATTTCCTTAGCAGTTGATTTTGCAGTTGAAAAGAGCATTTTCCCCAACGTTTTACCCAAATCATTGATAGACATTGATTCTTGAGGTTGAGGATGCAGTAATTGCTGCTGTTGCTGTTGTTGTAAATACAGCTTTAACTGTTTTGATCCAGCTTCACCTAGCTTAAATAACCCATCCAATGCTTGATTGGATAGCGAATTCAAAACTTTATTAAGTAATGGCCCTGGTGGTGGTAGCTTCACTGGTGTGAATACGATATTATCATCCAAGGAATCTATTTCATTGGTGGATGATTTCGACAGTGATCCCCTACGAGATGTTGATGTCAGACCAGATTTATCATTCTCCAGAGCTAACAATAATGCATTGGCTGAACCATTTATATATTCATCAACATTGACTTTTTTATTTTTATTGGCTAGTTTTTCTTGCCTTTTAATTGCCTTCTTATGTTTAGAAGTTGTAGATTTCAAAACCTTATACTCTTCCTTTGTTGGAGAATACACCAACCAATTTTGATGGATTGCATAAACTCCGACCCCTTTATATGCTGAGGTTTGTAATGTATATGGAGGTGCAATATTTATTCCTGCTTGACTTTGAACATTGGGAATATGTAATTCCTTATACTCTGTGGTATTGGCATCGTGCTTATAAATAGTCAACTTACCATTAGTGTCGAAAATCAAATACTTGCCCATAATTGCACAATTAGTGATCTCATTTGGATCTGAGAATGGGAATGATTTCACAACTAAACCCCCCTCAGTATCCAAATCGTAGATTAAACCACTCTTTGAAGTCACAAGTAGTAATTGTGAATATGATTTAAGAATTAGCATTTTAGTTACTTTGAGACCCTTAGCAAGCCATTTTGAAAGATCCAATTGGTTTACAAAGGATAAAGATTCATCATCTGTCCAACGCCAAACTTCCAATTTTTGATAGCGGCTGAAATAAATGTAAACATCGTTATTATCACCAAAGGCCACTACCAAGTTATTCAAAGCACTCTTTTCGGTTTTGGGTTGTTCTTCGTCATTTTCTGATAGTTGAGGAGACAAACCACAAGAAGGAGAAGGTGAATTTGATTTTGAGGACGGAAGTGATAAACTACCGTTATTACTAGTACTATTCCCGTTACTACCGTTTGTTTCGTTGGAAGTAGTCAAAGACGACGATGTAGTTGCCGTTGTAGCACATTTGATCTTGGACCATGTTGCCCTCGCACTCCCTAATTTGTGGCCACGTTTAGGAGTAGTATAACTATAAGAACATCAAGTTAGTATACAAATACTGAAAGAGATTGCATCAAGTTGCATTACGTACAGCTTTGTTATCTTAGCATGAGTATTAAACTCCGAAGACATTGTGGCTTGCAATCAAGTTGTTGATGTTAACTCAATTGCCACTCAAATCAATCAATGTGATCAATTTTAAATTCTGGCTTGTACCAAACAACAATCGGATCAATGGAGAAATAAAAGGGAATTAGAATTAATTTCAAGGAGAAAGTGTTTATGGTAATCTGTAACCCGATAAGAAAGGCTGATAATAGAAGCAATCATGACTAAACCACCACAAACCCCTTTGTAGGGTAACTCTTATCAGAGTGCCTGAGGTTCGACACGACCTTGGTCTTTCATTTTGTGGTGGTGGACGCACGATTCAGGGTGATGTGGAAGCGTCCTAAATGTCCTCGACATTTGCTTAGGTAAGATGCGACACATTGGTGAGAGTTTTGTGATACGATCTCACACCCGGATATAATTCACACAGTTTTACTCGTAATTTCCCATTAGAGTTGTGTTGAGGTTTAATTTCGGTTTTAATTATAGGGCCATTCTCGTATTAATATATTTCTGTGTATCTGAGGCTTTGACTAATGTGTTGAACTGTCCTCCGTTTTTTCGTATTAACTAAATGTGATGAACTGTCCGCTGTATTTCGTATTAACAAAATGTCAAAGCACTTCTGCCGTCCGTTGAAACTGTTTTGCAATTTGCATAGTTTCTTATAATTTTCAAGCCTGTGTGGTTGCGAGATATTCAGAAGAACGAAAGGGTTCTGTCCCTTTTGGATATCAAAGCTATGACTCCTACGCAGCTCCAAAGGTTTAGTCATAAGTAATGTCGAAAAAGGGTCGTCTCGGGGTTTGAAATAAACAAGTAAAAATTTGACCGTTGTAGAACATACTTGAAAATCGTATAATGAAACCAAAAGGGTACTTTCACAAAACTACAACTATCGACCTATTTTGCGGTCCTTCGTGGTTAATGAGACCCCCGGACCACAATTTGGGTTAATGGGTGCTGAATGTAACACACACACTACCAATCTCTGTGGTTTTCAAATGGCAGCCCCATTAATAAATCATGGATTTTCTCTGTAAAACAAGTTATTGGCATTACATCGGTAATGGAAGCAGTGCAATCGGCCCTTCGGTTGTTAGACGAAAACTGACCATTTTGTAACACGTAAACAATTACTCGCGTATAATTCGCTTGATTTAACCACTTCAATTAAAACAATCAAGTGTAGGTGTTAACACCAGCACTACTTAAATCCTCCATACAAAAAGGACCACAACAATATGTACACTTAGCAAATCAATAAGGACGCAAACTCGGCAAAACCTGTCAATTACATCACACCTTTGCCATGTACACTACTAACGGTCAACAATTATAAGCTTCGGATTTAAGTGTACTAGATACGCTGGATCATAACCCTTCTAGTGTACAAACGCAAAAGAACTTCCATGCTGTTTTGTGTAAGTTCATTGTTATGCGATATAACCGCTCCTTTAGAAGTCGCTAACAAACAAAAGAATAAAAGTAGCAGATGAATGACCCCATTCCAACTTTTAAACGTTGTACATAAAAGCGCAATAAATGCAACAACATAAAGAATCACGGGGTACATTCCTGATTACAGCACACATCACAGCGCAACACCGTCCGCAGCCATCATGGTAGTGTCTTTTTCAATAAACTGATTCAAGGAATTGTTTTTAAAAATATTACCCACTAGAATTTAAGCTTTGTAAGCTATCAGTGAGCCCCATCTTTCAAACCCCCGTTCCTATGCATGATATTCAAAACGTTTGGTCACCTTTGGTATAACTATCGTCGAATCGGATTTGTTGGCGGAAGACTAAAGAGTTAATACAATGCGCTAAAAAATTATTGTATAAGTACGTGACTTTACAATCATTCAAAGAAGGGCCTCAACTGCATTAACCAGAACCCTACGGATTTTTGGCGGCTACAATCTCATCGATGCAGCAATAAAAAAGAAAATACATGCAGAATCTCGGCGATAGTACTTCACTGGGTCGTGCCCCTGCCATACGAAGACGTGACTTTTTGCACTATGGAAAAATCACCACTGCAAAATACTGGGGTCGCCCTTAAACTATGTTCAGTCGAGGCTTTAATGAAACAAAAAAAGGGCGAGAAGTTGTGATTTTTGAGAACTTCTACAGAAGGATTTATGTCAACGAATAATGAACCGTGTATTTTGATTATGGAGCCCATTGCTCCATAATATGTAACTAAATTAGTGTATGTAAACCCAAGAATATTCATGATTTGAATATTAAATTATCTATAAGAAACCAAATGTAAATGCTGAAGTGTGAAATAAAAAATGCAAATAATGAGCCTATCATAAGGCGGTGGATGATGATTCTTAATATAAAGAGCCAGTGGCAGTAGACAAAGTCTTGGTGATCATGGTTGTGGCAATATATTCAGAACTAGATGATGCAGTGGCAGTGTAGTAGCATGGTTTGGGAGTGTCGACTGAAAAGTAGAATGTAGTACCGTCAGAAATATAAGTAGAAATGTTAGCGGCAGATGCAGAAGCTAATAAGGTAGCGGAGGCAACAATTGTAGAAAACTTCATTTTTTATGTTCTTGTTATGAATATATTGTAGTGTTGTAATGATTAAGTTGAAATTTATCAGTCAATGTCGAAGGGAAAGGGTTTATATTTATACTTCTCTGAAGTATTTGACATTACAGGCATGGCAGAATTTTTTTTGCACAAGTTCCTAGCATCTGCTTAATGTAAACAATAGTACCGGTCTTAATTCATCTGCGCTAGAAACTGTACTAAGCCCCTATTGTTTGCCAACTCGGCTATATCGCGATTATTTTGTTGTATATAAACAATTCATGCAAAGATGGCACCTGTATACACGATCCTTTTAAGCCGGCATATACAAATGGGTACTAGTGCATATAACAACAATTAACTCAACGCTTATTAGAAATCATAATGGTTAAGCGATACCGAACGTTTTATTCGCCCGATTAGGTCTACATAATTGTGATCTTAGAAACACGTAAAGCACAAATTCTATTGGTCGAACCTTCGGATCTCAGTTCATACACTCACTAGTCTGCATAATAGTCGTTTAATAGATAATTAAAGCGTATAGGTGTTTGACTCCGGATCCAAAGTAGTACCGCTGAGGGTTTTTATTGGCTAAGTGGAGCTTCTTATGTGTAGTATTTCTTTATCGCCGGCATGGTTTAACCTCTGGTCTAATGAGAGTGATACACTCCCTCAGATCTTATTATTACTATGTTTTTGTAGTCTGCGAATGCATACTAATGCACTGTTAGATGGATCTAATCTCATACCTAACGTTGATGCCTTTCCTTTAGGCATACAAGTATTTTTATGCAGGTAAATTTTTTTACTTTGCAGATACGGTGGCCAAATTAAGGTCGAACTAAACTTTGGAGTAAAATATTGAACTAAAAAATATGTTTCTGCTTTTGTAACTGAAAGGTATCTATTTTTTTGACACCTGTAAAATCTATGTAAGGATCGCCGAAATTTTATAGGACAGAAGGTGCTCAAATAATGCAAAATCTAGTCTTCAGCTTAAGCTTTAGCTATATAAACTCATAAACATTGAAGTATTACTGTTTAGTTAGTGGAGATGAGCTATTATACTCCAGATGTTTTATACTGACGAATTGAAAATTTTTAGAAGAACACAGTATTCTAAGCCAAACGTAAACTTTGTTTCCATGCGTCCATGTCTGCATGTAACGAAGTCGTACTGCATCTGTATTACACCGTTGAGGAAAAAGGCTTTGAGTATGATTGATGGAAAACTATCATGTATAAAAACAGATACTTTATCACCGGGCCAACGACAATAGATATAAAAAAGGTGTTGTGTATTGCAATAAAAACCTCTTTTACTCAAGATTATTATAATCTTTCACAATAAATTGAAGTGGTGGTTTCAACGGTAACACTGTAAAATAAATTATATAACGGATCCCCCCCTTTAAAATACAATCAGCAACTTGATTTCTCAACTATATTGAGCAAATGCCCTCTACTTTTACCTAACTCGTCAAATTTCGTATCTGCGCATGTCTGCAACAGGTTTGGCTGAGTCACTTACAGTTTGAACGTAATCGTCGGCTTAAAGGAACTCTAAACTTATATAGAATGCCAAAATGAGCAAGGTCGTCAATCACTTTGAAAGGTATAAGCAATTGCAAACGAGATCAGTTCCTAAAGGTAATAAATGAAACCAGATTCTCAGAGGTCATAAAGCAAAAACTGCTCAATAACGAAGATAAGTTCCTTAATTAATAATTTTGCGGCAAACAAGTTAGATTATAACAAATTATCTTGAACATTTAATGATGGATAACGGTAATATCTAGTGCTTACACCTGTGCATACGAATGACCTGACCCCAGAAACGCGATCAATTAGTTTCCTTGTTAGTATTCAATGCACAATTGTCATCTACTTGTAAATCAAAATGATCTGATTTTCGAAGCATCATTCCAATAACAATAACGCACAAGTGTACTTCTCCTGCGGACCGCTTCTAAAATGCTATTTATCTACAGGATTTTAGGCACGGTAGCAGACCGGTATATTAATAATGAGAAAATTTTAAGCAAACAAATGGAAGACGTCGCTTGGACGTTTACATGCTAGCCGCTTAAATTTATGCAAGATTTTATTATTATATGCAAACTACATCGGTTTACGCGGAGTAGAAAATGTGTTCGGAAGAGAATTAACTCCGCGGTTATTGTACGCGGAAATTAAGCTCATCAGATCTGTAAGGATACCAGCCTTGATTTATCTTCCATTTCGAATGATACTTTTCCTGTATTTGTCCTGTTGGAGCTTCCAAATGGCAAAGATACTCCCGTCCGTTGGACGGGGACATTCCGGCACAGCACATTATCTAATATGTGTTTGACCACTACTCTATTAGATTAGTAGAATATTATGAAAATTTTTCACGGTAAGTTTAACCATATTTATTCACCAATCATTGCATTGTTGTCCCCACCGGATTTAATATTGACACCATCAATTCTTTTCTAACAACGCATACACCGCATATGTTAATTCACCGGAATTAAGGAAGATACACTTACCACCTTGATCTTGTGTTCTGTATACAATTGTGCATGGAAGCCTACGTGTAAATTATTGGTAGCGCGCAAAAGAGTAAGCCTAGTTAAAATTAATAAGTCCTTTTTTTATGTGGTAAGGCGAAAAAGGGGGTGTATTCATCAAATTATTGGGCAATTAAATATCAATTGTTATTAATACAAGTCCAAGTTATTAACAAACCGAACTGACCTAGTTGTGCCTATGACAGGTATTGCATGTATGATCGTAATTGTACATATGAAATAACCGTTTTATGTACATTATACATTATGTCGCAGTTATTTCCAAACAAATTGTTTAATAATGTGAATTTTCACAATATGCACTCCTGTCAATCCAATGTATGTTGAGCTTGAAGCACGCAGTATCGTTTCTTTGATACTTCAAACGTTAGAGGAAAGCTTTTGGTAAAGCCATGTTCCAATTAAGTATTCTTTTTTACTATAAGAAAGTTAAATCGTAACGACTTCAAAACTTTATTATCTTCCACGAGCTAGTCATGTTAACATCAAACGTATGCGATGAACTGTACAGGGTTCATTGTAACACACTCCTTTTTATAATATAAATGAATCAGTGCTATCATTGTATATACGGACAACCAATTGTTCTTGTATTTTCATCTGAGGCTTACTGTTAGTGTTATTTAAGTGGTTCGAGGGGCCCCACATCCACACGGAGGCAGTAGTTGGCTTTGTAGTGAAATGCGGAGCCTTACCGCCAAGTTATACAATTTATTATTAAACAGGCTTTTGGACATTGGTCTTGAGGCTTGAGCTTCGGGGCAGTCTATCCCTTTATGTGAAATATCAGAATAATTTTGTATTCTTATACTTCCATATTAGAAGCTACTAATAAGTTCTGGCCCCTATTTTACTTAAAATGGAAAGATTGTATTTCATTGAAATGAGATGTTGGTTTATTTTCTAATGAAGTTAAAATCGAGGATTTTCTTTAAGAATCTATGGTTTTCAAAAGTTTTAGATTTCTTCCCAGTCTTAGCTATACGTATTAGCTAACTTGGTCTTATATGATCTCTATATTCGATGTCATATGATTTCCACGTGATCGATCACATGAAACGCTGAGTTATTTTTTTATTATTCTCGTTTTGGGAATTTGAATAGGAGGTATTTAGACGGGGGGGGGGGGGGGGGGGGGGAAGG